CCCCCCCCCCCCGGGTCTCCTGGGGAAGAGGCCTCGGACGAGGCGCGGCTGCCGGCCTTCCCCGAAGCCGCGCAGGGCCAGCGGCGCAGGCAGAGAAGGGGACCCACCGGCGCCCCGAGGGCAGCGAGCGGGAAGGGGCGGCCGGGCTCCCCGCCGGGAGGGCGACCTTGCCCCGCCGGAGCCCGGCCGCTGCGGGGAGAGCCTGGCCCGGCCGCGGGGGCCCCTCCCGCCCCCGCCCCCTCTCCCCCCGGCGGCCCCCCCCCCCGCTCACCAGCCTCCCGGCGAGGGGCGGCGGCCGGGCGCGGCCCGCGCGGAGCAGCAGCGCAGCCAAGGACATGGCAGCCGGGCAGCGGCGGGCGAGACGCTGCCCTCCCCCGTCGCGCGCTGATGACGCGTCACGGCGAGGCGCGGGGGGATGGCGTGGCCGCCATGGCGCTGCTGGGCCGCTTGGGAGCCCTCCTGCAGCGGGCCGTGGAGGCGGTGGGTGCTGCGGGGGGGGGGGGGGGCGCCGGGGAGGGGGGGCGGCCGGGGGGCGGCGGGGGTCGCCTGACGGGTCCTTCTCTCCCGCTGCAGGAGGAGCCGCGCCTCGACCTCCCGGCCGCCTTCACGGAGCACTGGAAGGGCGTCACCCAGTATTACCTGGAGGCCTCCGGTAGGCAGGCGGCCCTCGCTCCGGCCGAGGGGGGGAGGGGAGGGGGGCCGGCGGGGCGGTCCGAGGGGGCCCTAGGGCCCCGCAGGGGGGTGGGGGGGGGGGGGGGGTTGTAAGGGGGGCCGCCTGCGCTGATGCTGCTCCTGCCTCTCCCCAAGACGAAAGGAAGCCGGCCAAGCAGACGGACATTCCCTGGCGCTTGAAGCAGATGCTGGACATCCTGGTCTACGAGGAGAAGCAGCAGCTGGAAGGGGAGACGGGCCCCTGCCTGGAGTACTTGCTGCAGCACAAGATCCTGGAGACGCTCAGCACGCTGGGGAAGGCGGAGGTGGCTCTTGCTGCGGCTCCCGGCCTCCAGTAGGGGAGGGGGGGTGTCCCTTCCCCTGTCATAACTCAAACCTTCCTTTGCCTGACTGGAAAGGCCCCTTTGGCGGCTCTGGCCTCCTTGGCCCACTTCCCAGGAGCCCTGGGGTGGGGGGTCTCTTTCCTTCCCCAGATGTGTCTGACAGTTGGGGCAGGTTTGACCATGAAGATTTGCACAGGGTGGCCCCCAAATCGTACATTGAGACCCAGACAAGAGGTCACTTCAGAACCGTAGGGCTGATGATTATCCTGCAGCAGGCTGTGTGAAGATCGCCCTTGACTTGTGCCTACATCCTGAGGCTTCTTTTCAGTTTAATGTTCAGCAGATTATCATTGTGTTGCGTTAGCATTTAAGGCAGCCAAGTAATGTAGTCACTGATGGAAAGCTTTAACAAACTCTTCCTAACGTGGGCCTTGTTTCTCTGCTTCCGACAGTATCCTCCGGGAATGAGGTCCCAGGTGCTTCTCTTTTTCAGTCGCCTGCTGGGGCAGATGCAGAGTCCTCTCATGCATTACTTCAATGTTTACCGGCCTGTTCAGGTGATGGCCCTTTTTAGGAACTCAGCAATTGGAGGGTTCATTTTGAAAATGGACCATTCTGCCAAGGGAGCTGCTTCATAGTGACTGGAAAATGTGTCCAGCTTTAGCAGCGCTGAGGTCTTTTAAACTTTTAAAGCATCTCTGAGGCTTACTGAGAGACGCTCAATATCTTTCTCTCTTTTTTTGCAGAAACTTATTCAGCTTCAGGGTGATGCTTTGGGCCCTGAGCCCGAGAAGGAAATGCTACAGTTTATTGCTGTTCTGTGTACCAAAGTCAGTCAAGAACCTGCTCTACTGCCATATGTCCTAGAGGTAAGGGATTGGTGGGTGCACTGGTCCTTTTCACACTGTGTATCAGCCCTGCCAGGCTAGGTTCGGTCAGAAAACAAACTGCCCAAGAAATAACTAGAATTCTATTTTATTGAAACAGTTTGTAACAACTGAACTTTGAACGCCTGACATCATTTCCTCTTCCCTCCCTCTTATACCAAAGAGAGCCAAGACAAAGCATTTGTTTCTTTCTCATTCTGTCCTGGTTTTATGATTCCCTGTTTTGCTAATGGTCTTCGGATACCATCTCCACAGTCATTTCTATGTTCCTCAGGGCTTGGTTACTGTAGGTTTGCATGTGGAGAAGAAGGTGCCAAGGTTGGGCTACGGCTCCTCCTCCTGTAGCTGCAGCCTTAGGCAGCATCAAATTATGCCCTTCAGAGTTGCTGTGCAACTGAATGCGGGATTAGAAAGGCTCCTTCATTGCACTGCCTGCTTCTTTCCATTCAGAAAGGACTTTTGCTAGATTTTTGAGTTTCCTGACTCTTCTGTGCAAGGAGGACTAGATGCTGTCTCAGCATATGCGTTCTGGCTCAAATTGCCTGGATTTTCTCTCTCTTTTGGTTGTAGGGATTCGGGATTACTGGGTGACTTGTCTTAGAAAATAGAACTGGTCCGGTTTTTTTTGAAGGGTTTCAGTAATCGTTACATGCCATCATTCTAGCAAGATCAGAATATTGTATCTTGCTGAGCTTATTTGTGGTCATTTCTTAAATGTATATGCCTCCCATCTCACTGTTAAGGTGACTCTTAGTGGCTTACTAATGATAAAAAGTTAAATATAACGGCAATTTCAAGAGTTATATAAAAGTAGAACCAAATGCTTGATTTGTCAATAGACCTTGGCCTGACCTGACCTGCGCTCTCCCTTCCTCTCCCCTTTGCTTTCAAGGGCCGGGATGTTGGTTCGCTGGGATTGGCAGCTAAGCCAAGCACGAGCTCTGGCCAGTCCCTGCCCTCTTCTGGAGACCAGGGCAGAGGGCTGAGTCCAGAGAAACCACTCGGAAGGGACTCGGCTGCTTCCGTGCTGAATTTGGTGACTTCTCTAATTGGCTTATGTCAGAGCAAGGTATGAAGCAAGCAGTGTGCCGGTAGCTCTGGGGCCCCTGATGGTCATATGCTTCCTGCAGAGCAGATAGGATGAGCTTATCCCTCCCTGACTCTGACCCTTCCACACACTGGGGCGGGGGGGAATGGGAGCTGCAGGAATTGTCTTATTTTTCCTCCTGGCAGAACCAGAAGGTTGGGCTAAAAGCCCGAGAGAATCTGCTGCTCCTTACCAGTGTGGACCATCCAACCGCTGCCCAGGCTTTGGCCCAAGACAGCCTGCTGTGCCTTCTGCTATCCGACCATCTCTGCTCCCTGTACGATGCCATCCCTGGTACCATCAACCCTGCGGATATTGCTACGTTTCCACCCGTCCAGTGGAGGTACGGAGCTCTTAAAATGTTGGGCCACAATTTCTGCTACTGAGATTTTGGAACCTGTGCTGCTGACTCAACCCTCTCCGCCTCCCACTGTGCCTTTTGTACACCCCACACTCCCTCCCTGACCCATATCCTCCCTAAGCTTCTCTCACGCCGCCTTGCCCTCCTCCTGGCTCTTGCCTGATCACCTGTGTGAATATATTGGTAAGCATAGCAAACACGAGGACGAAAACCCTCCATTCCTCTGAGTCTGATTCCTCCTTTCTGCCCCTCGCAGCGAAAGGATGATCAGGTGTCCCTGGGTTGACCCGCCTCTCCTTTGAACCTGCAGGCTTCAGAGCGACACCTCGGCGGAGGAGAGCTCCTTCCCAGGAAAGCCCAGCCTGGAGGCTTTCTTTGGCTGGCTGGATTTTTGTGACTGTCTCTTGAAACAGGCTCATCCCGTAAGAAATCTCTCCGGTTCTCTCTGTACCTTTTCCCTCTCCCTCCTTGGCCTGGCCTCAAGGCCCTGGGGGGCGGTGTGTGTGTGTGTGTGTGTGGGAGGAGCGATTGATGGTGGCTGTGTTCCCCGTCAGGTTATCAGAGACGCCCTGAGCACGACTCTGGGACGGAGGCTCTTCCTGGAAACCTTGCGGCCTCAACTCTTGCAAGCGTGAGTTTGGGCTGAGCAGGCGCTTGGCGGCAGGGGCCACGTTGCCAGGGTCCTCTGAAGGGGGGCGGGGGGCACAGCCAAGCGCAGCCCTTTTTTGCTCAGTGGGTCCTTTCTTGGCAGGTCGGACTCTGGGATTCTCTTTTCAGTCGCCATCCTGACAGGCCTGGTGAGAGGGATCCGTGCTCCTGCCCTCCTGCAGCAGCTGGTTGGGTTTCTGCTGGGAGCAGGAATGGATCCCGGCGGCCCCAGCGCTTCAGCCGGCCGGCAACAGAGCCTCTGCTCCCAGCTGATTGAGAACTGCAGCCACCTGTCTGATGAGGTGAGCCGCTCGCCAGTTGCTGCCCGTCCCTTCGGCCAGAGCTGCAGTCTCAGCCCTCGACGTTTGGAATGCCTGGAATTAGCTCTGCCCCAGGGAGCTCCTTCCTCCCCCTCCTCGCTGAGGCCCGGAGCCTTTGAAAGGAGAGCCGGGTTTGCCACTTCGCCATTCCCAGGGCCAGCCAGGAAAGGCCAGCCCTTCCCTACGGGGGTCTTGACCAGAGTCTGCTGGGCCTTTTGACTGAGAAGTGGGGGGGGGGGCGCTCTGGGGAGTTGTGGCCCAGCTCGAGACTCCAGTTTCCCCCAGGACTCCGGATCCTGCTGCCGACTTAAACCGCAGCAGAGCACGAGGAGGAAGCCAGCGGAAAGAGGGTCTCGGCTCGGCGGTTGGAGCCCGTCGGCCATTTCCACCCCAGCCACCGGCTCGCCCTCTCCTCCTTGCTGCAGGTCAGCGTGGCCACGCTGCGGTTGTTTGAGGCGCTGGTTTGGCTCCCTGACCAGCGCATCTTGCAGAGCCTGGTGCTGCGCCATCTGGAGGAGCGCAGCTATGCCCTGAGAAGCCCCCAGGAGGACCCTGCCGTCCCGGAGCAAGAGTTTTGTGAAGAGGGGCTGTAAGTGACCTGGGGAAGGAGCGGGGGGGGGGCGGCACTGGGTGGCCTCCACGCTTGCAGCTGACAAGGAAGTGTCTACAGGCTGACGCTTTTTACTGATATGAGCCACTTCCTGAAATCACGTTTTGGGTCCCCAGCACAGAGGCCTGGCGTTTGTTTCCAGTTCCCCGCAGGGAGCGCAGAGCCTTTCCTCTAGCTTAGAGTGAGTCTAAGGCAGGGGAGAGAAGGGCAGGGAGGGAGAACCTCCTTCAGCCCGCTTGGACTGGGCTGACCTCATCTTTGTGCTCGAGCAGCGGCTGATGAGCCTGGATCCCCAGGGCCGATTCGCGGAGCGGCACGTGCTGCCTGTCAACTCCCCTTTCCTCAGGCAGCAATGCTGAAGTGGATCTTTGTAATTAAAGATTGCATATTTGCTCACTTAAGTGTAACTTTGAAAACATGGTGAAGGCTGGCCTCTCCCTCTCCCTGCAGGGAGCTGGAGGAAGATCCTTACTTTGCAGATGGACTCGCAGAAGCTGTGCTCCAGAGGCCAAGCAGAGCAGCCCCTCCTCTGGCTCCAGAGGAAGGGCCTGGCCGGCCAGAGGGGCCTGTGGATGTGAAGGAGGCGGTCAGCAGGTACGGCTTCTAGAGAGTTGCTTGCATCCCTGTTTGGGGTATGAAGTTGCAAGACCCCTGTAGTGAAGATGGTAGAGACGTAGTCCCTGCGTTACTGAGTTATGCATCGGAAGCGGCCTGTGTAAGAGTGTATCGTGCATAAGCTTGTGAAAGAGCCAGTTTGGGCAACAGGGAGTCCTTAACCTATGTCTGGTTGGATAATGACGGTCACAGAACTGGTGTTTTACAGCCCATAAAGTTCTTCCAGGTACGGTAAGACATTGCACGGCCTTCCCTGTGGTCACACGATCAGTTGCCCAGTGTCCTATGGCCAGGTGATCGCCATTTGCCATCTTTCCTGCTGGCTTCCCCAGGGGGGAAGGCTTGAAATCTGTCCGAACTGCTAGCCAGAATTCCAGAAGGTTCTGAGCCTCAGTGCTTCCCAATGCTGCAACAGGGAACCGTTCAGAATTCCAGAGGAGAAAATGCTGTCCTTCTCACGATGGTTCAGATTCAGAAGACTGTGGTTTGGAGACCCATTGCAAGAACGGCCTGCCTGCAGGAGCGAGGAGGGCAGAGAGGAGGCCCATGCATCATGCTGGTGGACTCCGGACCACCCCACCTCCCCAAGTGGTCACTTAATAACCACAACAGGAAAAGCTCAGATTGCAGTCATTGAACAGCGTTGAACGTGTGGGCGCTTCACTTAATGACTGCAAGAACGTTCCATGCTCAATTTGGGTCCAGGAGCACCTGTAGTGGTTAAAGCAGCCGGCTTCACTCAGGAGACCATGAATTCCAGGCCCACCTTAGGCACGAAAGCCGAGGGCCTGGGCCAGTCGCACACACTCCACCCAATTCACCTTTGTTGCGAGGAAAATAGGAGGATGAAGAAATATTAGATACGTTCGCCATTTGAGTTATAAAAAAAGGATAGAAAAAATATCACTGCATCCACGTATGCGTTGGTTTTAATTTCCATCCCCTACTTCAGGGTCCCGTTCAGTTGGATTTTCCCAAATCCTGGAGCCCTCAAGTCGAAGTACATTATGAAAACACGAGGGAATAAGAGATGGCCAAGCCAAAAGCTCCCTTGTTTGAAGCCAGCGTTTCCGGGTGGGCTCCCTGGGGGCTTGCAAGCAGCTCTGAGGAAGGGGGTGGCCAATTGCCTGGCAGCCCAAAGTACTGAAGGATGATCGGCAGGCAGAACCCCCCCCCCCCCGAGTCTTCTGTAGAGGCGGCTTTTGGGGATGCCTGGAGGCAAAGCACCCGTGGCACACGGCTTGGTTGTCGTTCCGCCTGGAGATTTTATCCAGGGGGGAAATGAACAGAGGAATCGGCCAACAGGGAGCCCATAGCCAGGGTCAAAGTGCAAAGGATGAAGAAGGGTGACCAGGCAGGAGGTAAAAGAGTTCTGCAGAGCTCTGACCACCATCTTCTTTGTGATTTTTTTTTTTTTATCCAGCTTCCTTTGCCTGGTACCCAGTGAAGTGAAGACCTCCCCGTATCTGGAGGAGGCAGGATATGACACTTACGTCCATGATGCTGAAGTACTGGTGAGTCCACTCTCCCCCTGCCGCATCCTAAATAAGGGATTGGTTTGTTTTTCTGAACTCCAGGGGTTGATTGTGTTGGTCGGTGTCCTGCCCAACGACGACCGAAATGCAGCGTTGCAGTCATTGAGCTGGTTGGCCATCAGCTTCCGGGTCTGGTTTGAAGTGTCGGCTCTTGAGTTTCTACAGGGCTCCTTCCTGACGACGAGGCCTGTGAACCGCAAAGGTTCCCTCCTCACCTGAAGGGTTTGGGGCCCAGCAGCAGGGAGGGATCTCTGGCAGCCCCTGTGCTGTGCGGCACCGTTCGGCATTTTGTGGGTCGCTTAAAGTTTTGTAAATCTTTCATGTCATACAGAAATGGGCAAAATATAAAACAAAAGGATAAACATCCGGACCCTCCAAAATCCAACTAATCCTCTCTCCTTGCAGTTTCAAGAATGCTGTGCGAAAGTTGCGCACTGGACATGGCCCCAGGTCCAGCCGCCCCAGAAGACCAGCCCCACGGGACCCCAGTTTTACGAGGGCCGTTTCCTGCAGGTGCTCTTGGATCGGCTGGCCCAGATCTTACACCAGGTGAGATGCTGAGGGGAGCGGCCTGGGAGAGCCTGCTCCGTCTGCCGTCCGGAGGATGCTCCGGTCACAGCAAGGCAGGAAGAGGCCCCAGTTCATTGTGGGGAGGCAGCTTTCAAGGAAAAGGGGTCCTGGGACACCCCAGGCCTGACCACCTGCCCTTCCAAGGTGGAGAAGATGGCGCAGGGCAGCCCTGGGTGGAACCTGCTGCCAGTGGCGGATGGTGAATGAACTGCTGCATCAATGAACTCTCTCCCCCCCTCCCCTCCCCCCCCTTGGCAGCCCTACGCAGTGAACCTGCAGGTGACGTCGATGCTCTCTCGCTTGGCCCTCTTCCCTCACCCTCACCTCCACGAGTACCTCCTGGACCCCTACCTCCCATTGGCCCCTGGCTGCAGGACCCTCTTCTCAGTGCTGATTAGGGTAACATTTGGCCTGGCGGGTCGAGCACAGGCTGGGTGGGAAACTCTGGGTGCTGTGAGGCGGTTCCGGGGGGCCCAGCTACATCCTCTCTGGCTGCCGCTGCGAAGCTTCTGGGCCCCCCCCCCCCCCCACCGGCCTCTTGGCTCTTTCTCTCCGGCCAGGTGATTGGCAGCCTGATGCACACGGCTCATCGGATCCCAGACTTCTCCGCCAACTTGCTGCTGGTCCGGAGGAAGCTGACAGGGCTGGCGTCAGAGGAGCACCCGTAAGTGGGCCAGGGAGGACGGGGTGGTTCTTCCTTTGGGCCGTCTCGGAGCTCAGCGTGTGCTTGGTTGGAGGCTTCCGCAGTCCAGGGCAGGCCCAAGACAGAGACCGTGGCCCAGAGGAGGCTGCCTCGATGGCAGCAGCTGTGTTCCAACAGCAGTGACCTGCCTTGGAGGAAGGGGGCACAGCCTGAGGCCCCTGGGGCCAGGCAAGAGCGGCAGCGACTCCCGGAAGCCGCTCGTCCTACCCAGAGGCCCTGAGGGGGAAGGGCAGCCGACCACTGGAGGAAAAGTGCCCTTTTTGGTCTCCCTAGGATCAGCCACCAGATGCTCTTGGAGGGGGTGATTGTGCTGGAGGAATTTTGCAAAGAGCTGGCCGCCATCGTCTTCGTCAAGTCTGCCCTCCAGGGGCCTCCCGGGCAGAGCCAGCCACGCCCCCCTTCGCCCAGCTGAAAGCTCCCCATGGGCTCCCTGCCTCTTCCCGGAGGCCTTCGGCGGTTGAGGGCAGCACCGTTGCTGACTTCCTGGGGGGAGAGAAAAGCAGCCGCTGGTTCTTGGCATAAAAGTGGCTCCACATAAGGAGAGACGGTTGGGATGAGAAGCGGCGGGTTGCTTCGTCAGCTCCCGCACAGTGTCCTCACCGGCCTTCCTGGATTAGGCTGGGACTTCGCTGCCGGCCTTCTGGTGCTTTGGCCAGCTCCGGCCTTGTCCTCTTTCCAGAGGTCGTCTTGGCATCTTCCTCGAGAACAGAGAGCTCCAGATAAAACCTCTGGGTTTGACGTCTTCTAGAAAACAGTAGCAAGAAGGGGCCCTTTTCAGCTTATTTTAGCCAGCAGGACTACATTATGGAGGTTCTGGTCGTTTTCTGCGCTGCGTGGATTTGGGGATCTGCTGCTATAACTCCACCTCCTTTTTCTGCTCGCTGCTCTTGTCGCACTTGGGATCCTCCTCAATGCGGCAAAGAGCCCCTTGTGGCGGAGTGACCCTCTTCTCGGCCACTTGGCTTGGCGACTCAGCTGGAGGCTCCCTGCCAGGACTTGTTTGGGGCAATATCTTCCATCGGTCTAAAGATTGATCCGCCGTGCCACCTGACCCCCGGTTTCCCTTTGAGCCCGGCGCTTGCTGTGGTGAGATAATAATGGAAGCCTCCCCCACGGCTCATTCCCACAGTTCCCCTAGTCCACGAATGTGTGTGTGTGTGTGAGGACGTGCTGATCCTCCTGGCGTGTTGCCCAGGTGCTGGGCAGAGCCCTGGGAGCCCCCGGAGGAAAGAAGGTGGGCTCTGCATCTAATAAAGGGATGTCTGGGGACCTTTTCCGATCTCGCATTTTCTGCAAGAAGCACAGCAGAGCCACGAGCAAAGAGGCCGGTTGTTTATTGGTTCAGCTGGGGGTGGTCCAAAGGCTGGCGGGGCGGCTGGGGTGCTGGGGGGGGGGGAATGGTACCATGCACTCCCTCTGCCGACCTGGATCTCTGAGGCACTAACTGTAGATGGGGAGGAAGGCAGCCGCGTGGAGCCTCTGGAGCACCTGGCTTTTCAGCGCGGCCTCTTCCACCTCCCACCAGGTGAAGGCCGGCTCCTGCAAGGCCGGCGGGGCCAGCTCCTCCTGGGAGCCCTCGCTTCCCACCGTGGCCACCACGTTGAAGCAGACGCCGTCGCTCCGGCCCGGGTCCCGGCCCAGGTGCTGCAGCCCAAGCAGGCCCTGCAGGCGGACGGCCACCTCGGGCCGGGCCCCGCACCTCTGCAGCAGCTGCGGAAGGGCCGTCACGAGCCTCTTGCCCGGCTTGGAAGCCGACGGGCCGCTGGTCGCCAGCGGGAGGTGCGGCCCGCCCGTGGTCTCCAGGAGCACCCAGAGGGAATCGTCGCGGCCGCCGGTGAAGGCGAGCAGGAACCGCTGGCAGACCGAGGCGCACGGCAGCTCCACGGGCAGGACGGGCGGGTGGCGGGGCCCGGCGCGGTACTGCAGGGCCAGGTCCATTAAGGGCAGGATGTCCCGCGAGCGGAGCGGCAGGGCGGGGCTCTCCCGGTCCCACCACCGCGCCTGCAGGGACTCGGCGTCCGCCTGCTGGAGGCTCTTCAGGGTCCCGCCTAGAGAAAGGAAGACCGGAGCTAGGAAGGGGCACCGGGCAGGGATCGGCCCGGCCGGGGCACACAAGGGCGGCTTTGCAGCAGCGCAGCTCAACCGAGGAGGGGGGGGGGGCGATCGGAAAAGGGAGAAGGGCGAGAAGCCGCTTCGGGGCTCCCAGGGGCCGCTTGCTTGGAGGGTCACCGGCCCCGGGAGGGGGGGGGGGGGGGAAGAAGGGAAGAAACCCCCCCGGGGGCTTCAGCGCCCCCCCCCGGCCGGGAGGGAGGGCCGGTGGCTCAGCTGCCGGATCTCCCCCCCCTCCTCCGCCCCGCATCCCCGGGCCGGGCGCCCCCACCGGTGGGCCGGGCGAGGAAGACGAAGCGGATCCAGCTGGGCCCCCGCTCCTCCACCGCCAGCAGCGTCAGCGGCCGGCACTGCAGCCCCGTCTCCTCCTGCACCTCCCGCCGCACGGCTTCCGCCACGGTCTCGCGGGGCTCCATGCGGCCGGCCGGCAGGTACCAGCTCCCGTAGCACTCCGCCTTGGCCTCCTGCATCACCAGCACCTCGTCCTGCGCGGGGGGGGGGCAGGTGTGTTGGGGGGGGACAGAGAAGGGATCGTCAACGGGCGGCCCGCGGGCGCCGGGGAGGGCGGGGCGGGGGGCCTCCTCCGCGGACCTTCTCGTTCAGCAGCACCGCCAGCACCACGTAGCAGACGTTCCCCCGCAGGCGCGCCGGCTCCGAGGCGCCCGGGTCGCAGCCTCCCGCCGCGGGCACCGGCCAGCCCTTCCCGCCGAGCAGCGCCTCCAGCTCCTCGGCCGCCATCCCGAGGCCGTTAACGCGCCTGCGCCGCAGCCCCGCCTCCCCCGGGCGCGTCCTTCCCCCCCCCCTTCGAAGAGACAGGCGGGCCGGAGAGCAAAAAAATCCTTTATTGGAGGAGGCGGAAGAGGCGGCGGCGGCGGCCCGCAGGGAGACGAGCGGCCGCCGCGGGACAGGCGAGCGGAGCCAGCCGCAGGCAGGGCCGAAGGCGAGGTTGCAGCGGTCCAGGCGCCCCGTCGGTCCTTGGGCAGCCCGGGGGAGAGGCCCTGGGGGGCGGCTGGTCGGGACCCCCCTTCCTCAGCCACGGCTCAACTTGCTGGGCTGCTCCGGCAGCAGCGGGGAAAGAAGAGCAGCTGGCGGGACCCCCGAACCTCAGCCCAGCAGGCCCCCCACAGGAGCCTAGCGGTCTTGGTCCAGGGGGGGCACCTGCTTCCGGGAACGACTGCGGAGCCCCCGGGAAGAACTCTGCGGAAAGAAGGAGGCGGCGAGGAGGGTTGGGAAGGAAGAGGCCAGGCCGCCTCCTTCCCCTCCTGGCTGGAGCAAGTGGGTGGGTCCCTCCGGAGCCTCCTTACCTCCTTACCAGGCAGATGCTGCTTCTTCCCCTGCCGGAGGCTTTGGCTCCTGGCCAAGGGCTTGGGAAGAGCAGGGTCCTTGCGGCGGCCCCTGGAGGGGGCAGACAGCTCAGAGTCCGACCAGTAGTCTTCCTCCTCCTCGCTATCCGGCTGCTGCACGGCTGGCCTGTGCCCTGTGCCAATGCAGACCGAAGGAAGGCTCAGAAAGCAGCAACCTGTCAATCTCTGGATACAAAGCACCCCTGACTTGATAGAAGGGATTGCCCCCACCCCCACCCCCCAGTAAAATTGGTGGCATAGCCTGAACAAACCCCCGCAGGATCCTTTAATCTGGCCTAGAGAAGATACGAGATACCTTTGAGAGTGCAGTGCAACGAAATTTCATTTTAATGTAATGCCAATTAGTGTACGTTCAAAGTCACAATAAAGTTATTCTAAGTCCTATGCCAAGACACACAACGCTGAGCTTCCGAAGCGGCTGAATGCCAGGCTGGGGGCGGAGGGGGTCTACCAGGCCGCCTGAGCCTTGGAGAATTCCAAAAACACTCCCTGGTTTTGTATCTTGCTGCACAATGAAAGTTTCCTTACCGATCGGTCGCCGGCACAGCTGCTGTTCCTCCAGGTAGAGGGGATCTGAATAATGCACCACGGCCGTCTCCGGCATGGAGCGCAAATCCTGCATACTGAAGCTGCGTAAACGACCCGCCAGGGCACCCTGGCCCTGACCAGGAGACAAGAGGGGAAGAGGGGTTTACTGGGGAATTGGGAAAGGTTGCTTCAGGGGTGGGAAATCAGAGCCTTTCAGAGGAGGAAGAGCCACCCGTCAGCACCCAGTGCCTAATACTTCACCCAAATTAGACGCATGAGAAGCCAGCATAAGCTAGAGAGGAAACTTAGTGGAGAAGGTGAGGAAGCACATTAGTTACCCATGTGGTACAAGCTGGAAACGGGGCAGCCCAATTCCACCTAGTTACGGGACTCTACCAGTGGGCAGCACCTCCTCTCCTCAGTCCCCTCTGCCAGGCCCAAGCTTGCCTCCAGACCAGTCCCACCAAGAGATCAGAGCAAAGGAAACAGCAGGTTACTTTTGCAGCCACCTGGAGAGCTGCTGTGGCCGCCACGTTGATGCTCCTCTTCCCAAAGCTCACAAGGCTCTCGTAGCCCCGCTCTTTGGCTTGGCAGATGAAGTGGTCAATCTCCTGCAGGGAGTCACACACAATTGACAGCATCAGAGGAAGGGCACCAAGCAACCACCCCCTCCAGGTTCTCCCCAGGCATCTCCTGGCAACAGGATAAGGAAGCGCTCCTGTCACTCAGCTGCAGGAAAGGGGGCAGGGGGGTGGAGGGCTGGCACCCCAAAAGCCACTCCCTCCCGTTTCTTGCCATGCACGTTATCACTCCTGAGATCTTCTGCTGCCTGTACCTGTTCTTCCCAAAGGCCGCCTCCCACTCCAACTCCCTCTTGGGCCTTGGTGAAATGCAGGTGGCACGTTCTAAGCTGGCGTAACTGCATGCAGGCCCACAGCCCTTTAAAGGTGCACTCAGGAATGCATTTTTCACAGGGAGAAAGGGGGAGGACCATGGGCACCGGCCGTCCACTTGCCAACCAGTGGCCTGTGGACAGGAAGATCATTACCTTTTCTTTGCTGGACAGTGTGGGATGCACAAACTTGCGGTACAACAGGCTGGCGCCCTTTGTGTAAGGAGACAGGAGCCATACCACAAAGGCCATTTTGAGCTCATAGTAGAAGGGAAACCTGCAACCAAACAGACCTCCATGGAGCCAGCAGTGCCCGACAGGTTGGCTCAGCTGACTTCTGCAATGGCTGTCTGGCTAGGTGGCTGTTTTCAGAGGTAAGTGGGGGTTAGAAAGGAGCCTTTCCTGCAAAGCCAGACATGATGAGGGAAGGAAAGCAATCCCAGCTCTCCTTTGCTAACCCTGGGAGCAGATTTGCTGTCTGCCAACAGCCCTTTGAGCTATTATAGGTAGTTCTCGGCCTACCACCATTTGTTCAGGGACTGGTTTCGACAGCATGGAATGAATTGTGGTTAGAACTGGCCATCTCAGCAATCCCCCCAGTCCCGTGATGGTGACCTGGGCACTTGGCAACTGGTTCACACTTATGACCGATTGCAGCATCCCAGAGTTATGTGACCGCCTTTGGCTCCTCGCCTCAATCAGCTGGCAATTAAAGTTGCTGTTTTGGCCCTGGTCCAACCAAGTGACCCCTCCCAAACAAGAAAAGCCAGAGCAAGTTAATAAGCCACAAGGTCCATCCCCCCCCCCCCCCACTCTTCCTAACAAGCAAGGAGGGCTGGGCCAACCCAAGTTTCCTCTAGACCGGCTCAGAACTGGTTAAAATGCCTTCAGCTCTGCTCAGCAGGTTCACTGGCTGCATTGCCACACCACATTAAGCAAGAACACATGAAGGCTTGGGATTTAAGAGGGTGGTAACCCAATTAACTGTGGCTTATTTAAGCTAAGCTGACTTTCCTCCCCCACCCCAGCCTCATTTACTGGAAAAGGTTACTTCAGGTGTACATTGGGAAAACCTTGAAAGGGGAGCACAAAGGGAATGGAAATTGTTTAAAAAGGTGAATGATAGAACTGTCACAGTTTCTGTAAAAAAGTTAAAAAACTGGAATAGGGCAGGTCCAGCCAAACAGGAAACTCCCTTTGAGTCCCAGCCAGAGTCCAAGGGGAGAAAAGGCTGAGCCCCTCCCCAGGGCAGGAGGACGAGGGACCAGGAGGGGTGGGGGTGGGGGCTCTGAGCGGCCCTCCAGGCCCAGTCGGGGGTCTCTGGGTGTGTGTGTCTGTGAGCCCCACCCCACCCCCAGCAGCCACCCACCAGGAAATGAAAGTGTCCGTGACGGTCTCGGTGGCCATGAAGAGGGCGAAGACGATCCAGTACATCATCCACCGCACCTGGGACGGGGAGCCGGGAAAGGAAGGGCCGGTGAGGGGGAGCCGCTGCCCGCAGGAAGGAAGCCCCCCCACGCCTCCTCCCCCGTGGGCTCCCCTCACTCACGTACTCCCGGACGTCCTTGTTCCTCACGGCCTTGTACGAGGCGTAGGCCGGGTACAGCGTCCCCAGCAGGAGCCTGTAACGGAAGGGCGGCGTCAGGCAGGCCGGCCAGCCTCGGTAGGCGCCGGCCAGGAGGGCCAGCAGAGCCCGCCGCCCGGAGCGCAGCGTCGCGGCCTTCAGGGAGTCCAGCGCCATGGCCGGCGGAGGGAGGAACGGAGGACCGGTTTTCCCGGGAGCCGCTGCTCCTGACCCGCCCCGCCCCGCCCCGCCGGGACCGGCCGCCGCGCCCCCCTCGCCCGCCGCGGGACTCACTGCACGGCGCGGCTCAGCGCCCAGACCACCATCGCCGCCGCTCCAACCGCCCGCGCGCGCTGCCATTGGCCGCCTTTAACCCCGCCCCCGCCGCGGGCGACCAATCGGGGCGGGGCCGCCACCCGGTCTGGTTTCTTCTGTTTTGAATCGGGTCGGCCGGTGGATGGGCGGGGTTTCTGGCGCGAGTCCCTCTTCTCCCTGTCACGTGACCAACTCAGGCTGGGCCCGCGCTTCCGGGTCCAACGTTGAGTCTCGCGAGAGCGCCGAGCGGGATCGCTGGCGAGGGCGGGGGCGTGTCTTTGGACCCCCGCCCCGCTTTCCCGTCTGCAGGCGCGACCCCCGCGCCGTCCCTGAAAGGACCGTTTGGCCCAGGACCCCCTGAAGCAGGGCTCCCCGACCGGGGCCCCCTTAAGCAGAGCTGGCTGGGGAACTCTGGGCCCAGGTTGGAAGCCCCTGCCCGGAAGTGCCCCCCCCCCGCCCCCAGAAGGGGAGGCCGGCCGAGGGGTCTCCGGGCAGGCGGGGCTGCAGGGTTAGGGGGGGTCCCGTAACGTGGGGTGGGTCCAAGGCCTCCTTCAGTGGGCCAGGAACAGCCCCTCCTGCCCTGAAGGGTCACTCACTGCCTGGACCCCCCGGGAGCCTCCCCTGGCCAGGAGGGGAAGGGACCCCCGTGCAATTCCTCAGGGCCAAAGTCTCTGAGGGAGCCGCTCCGTCCCTGGGCTGCCACGGGAAGAGATCCGCGCAACTGTGTCCAGCGGGCGTTGCAGGGATTCCTCAGCAATTCTCAGGGTGCCCATTGCATTGGGTGGCTTGAGCTGGTCCTCCCTGTTCAGCAACCCACGTTACGTCCGCTCCAAACAGGCGGGACTGACGGCGGAGCCTGGCTGCCGTAATGCCCCTGCGGTCCCATGAACAGCTCGCCCTTCTGACGCTCGCACTCCCCTGCCAGTTTCCCACAAGCAGCATCAATGGGGGCCGGCAGGAAAAGGTCACAAGTCAGTCTGGTAAATCTTCCTGCACTCCTGCCCCGCTGAGCCCCCTCCCCATCCTTTGGCCCCCCTGCACTTGGGCGTAGCCGGTGCTGGGCCTCCCCCAACTCAGCATGTGGCTGCACTGGACCTCCGCCCGCCCCCCCCCCCCCCCTCCCCCCCCTCGGCACCCCCCCCCCCCACCCCCCCCCCCCCCCTCCCTTAGCTGGGACCACATCCCCTTTCACAACGCACATGCTGTGGGATCATGAGAGCCCCTAAGACGGCTGGGATTGTGGTAGCTAAGCAATGCATCCCTTAAAGGCAATCCCCCAGCCCCATTTGCCATCACAACCCAAAGACCACCTGTGGTACTGTTCACTTAAATGCAAGCACACAGATGCAACTAAATGTTTAGAAACTAAGCCCTTGTGTCATGGTTTGTCCTCCCCACCCCCCTTGGCATTTTCTCCTGCACTGTGTGCGTCTGGAGCATCCCTATGCATAAAGTCTTGTGTTTTTCTTTTTGCTTCACGCGAACTGCTTAATTTCCTGCATTTTCGAAAAGAAAGATCTGGAATGTAAAGAAGAGAGTTCTGTGTGAGAGGAGGGCGCCTCTTTCTCTAGGGCCTCCACTTCTCTCAAGGAGAACCCTCTTCTCGTTCCCCACCCGGGGACAGATGAACGGGTCTATTCACAAGGTGTTTGCTCAGTTGCATAAGCCCACGTCAAGGGGACTTCACTTAAGAGGGGCTTAGCCCATGTCAGGAGTTGCCTCACTACTTAATGAAGAGGAAGGCCAGGCCCAACACTGCAAAGCAATCCGCCCTGCCACCGAAAGCCACCCTTGGCCCACCTGGCCACAAAATGGAGGCCCGGCCCCTCCGCCTCTTGGTTGGGAGGTGCCTTAGGAGCCCCTCGCTCCCTTAGCCAAACTGCAGGGGGGAGGGGTTGAGGGCCTTTTTTTTCTACATATAGCGAATACAGTATTTAAAGTTACACTTGTTTCAACAAAATTGCATCGTGTGATGTTGATTACACGTAAACAGAGGGAAGGTGGCAGTTTTCAATGCACGTTTGCAGCCCTGCAGGAAGGCCAAGAGGGGCTCTCCTTCCTGGGGGTCCCGGCTGAGCTGTGGCGCATGTGCTAAGGAACCGGTTCTGTGTGTAGCACACCAGGAGACACCGACGTGCGGGAGAGACCAGGGCGATGGACTCCAGGACGTGCCCAGGCTCAGTGGAGGGAGAGTCGGCTCAGCATCTGCCAGCTCCCCTCATCCTTGGGTCGTCCTGGAGGTGTCGGGGCAAACGGGCCCTGTTTCGGGCAAGCCACTGCTGGGGAAGCCCAGGCGCTGGAAGGGAGGCCCAGGTGAGGCCCCACCTGAAGCGCCCATCCCAAGTTGCAAAACCCACGTCCTCTGAAGACGCCTCACCTGGAGGGCCTGGCAGCCGCCCTCCTAGGCTGGGAGTGGACAGGGAGGTGCCCAGGAGGCGATGCGTCTCCATCAGCCCCTCCATTGGCTGCCCTCGCTCTCTCAGCGAAGAATAAAAAGGGCCCCGTCCCAGCCCCGGGATGTATGCTGGACAGCGCACCATGGGGCCCCTGATCCTGCTCAGCCTGCTCTCTGGAGGCCTGGGTAAGCAAGGGGGGGCGGGCAGTGGGGCACGGATGGGGAGGGGCACCATCACACGGCCACCCCGGCAGAGGGAGACCCAAAAGTGGAGGAAAGTCCTGGCCCTCAGTTAGAAGCCGCTGCCTGGGTGACATTTGGCCCCCCTCCCTCTCCACCCGACCACCTGGGGGGGGCTGTTGGGGGGGGGAAATAGGAGGAGCTTAATCTCCTATGAAATGAATTGTGCAACCTTGAGCCAATCAACATCTTTCTACTTAACCTATTTTAGAGAATTGTTACAAAAATAATACATATTTGTCCTGAACAGAAGGGCAGACTAAAGTTGTTTTTCATGCATTCTGCTTCGTCTGTCCTGACTGCGTATGATCGATAGCAACCTGACCCTCCCCTTCCTTCCCTTCCCAGTCCTCACCAGCAAGATCCAGAATGAATGTGCCAAGGGGGCAGCTTACTGGTGCAGCAACTTAATGACAGCTATCCAGTGTGGTGCTTTGGATCACTGTGTCCAGACGGGGTGGAATCAAGCCAGCAACGAGAGTGTCTGGAACAGAAGCAGCAATGTAGGTATTGTGGTTTGTTGTTAGCTGTAAAGGTCAGCAGATCTGTTATTCCAGGCGGCCCAAACGGCACCCGAGAGCCGGAAATGCAGATAAAAACATCTCTGTTATGGAAGGAGTAAGGAGGGGCACCTCCCCCAAAAGAGGAAAGGGCCCCCCCTAAAAAGATGGAGAATTACTGTATATTCAGTTCAAAGGGATTGGGTTTGTAACGAGTTCTTTCATTGGCTAGCATCATTTGACGCATCTGTGAACCATCAATAGCATCAGTAGGGAGCATGTGACGTTTCATAGCCTCCCTTCACACCCTTAGTGTGACCATCCTCCTATTCATCCTTGTGTTCAGGAGGTATGTTTCCCACAGGAGAGAGAGTTTGCAAGTGACTAAAGTTTAAGTCTTAAAAGAGGATCCCTGTTCTTGGCAATTTGAACCGGTTCTGATCAGACTCTACATTCCTCACGGAGAGCTCACTTGTTACCTGAAAGACATCTTAATTTCCTAGTAACATTGATCCAAGAGCCCCTCGCCCCACCCGTTCTGCTGTTGCCATCCATGGATACAGGAAGGACTGTGATGGGGGACTGGAGCAAGATCCGCAGCCATGGCCTGAGGTGGGGCTGGGGTGGGGGGAAGCACGAGAGACCTCCTGAAGGGACCCTCCCTAGTTTGCCAGAGACTGAGAGGGGAGAAATAGTCTTGAAGGAGGCTGTGAAGGGAATCTTACCATAGCTATCGCCATACGGACGGCCTCAAAGGGCTAATGGTATCCGCTGCCCTCCTTGACTGCCAGGGCGCAGAAGCCAACAGGTTGGAGCGCAGGGAATGCTCCGGGGTGGGTGAGCGAAGGCCTTGGGGAAGTTGGGGGTTCTGAGGGGGAGTCCCTTTTTCTTCCAGGAGGACATGTGTGCAGACTGCAAACAACTTCTCTCCATCCTGGTGCGCATGGCCAAGGAATCCGCCTTTCAGGTGACAAAGCTATTCATTTCACTTACCACTTCCATGGCTTGATCGGAACAGCAGAGCTTGAGTGCCTGCTATTCTTCTCAGGTGTGCCGTTTATTTGTTCTTCTTGCCTCCAGACGGTACGGGTGCTGAACAGCCACCTGTCCAGAGTGGTGGAGGGTCTCCTCTTGAGCAGCAGGTTGGACTGGGAGGCGTCCCTTCCAGCTCTGGTGCTGTTCTGCGGTTCCGTTGCATCGATGCTTTTCTAACTCTGAAGCTGTGGGCTGAGCCAACTGGCCGCCTCTCCCAGCCCCTCTTGCTCAATCCTCTCCATGTAATTCACCTCTTCACAGAAAACCCTCCTGAAGTATTTGGAGGATGAGTGTACCAATTTGCCACTCCAGACACTTATCCCACAGTGCCAGGCCTTGGTCAAGGACTACTATGCCCGTTTAATTGCCAGCCTGGAAAAAAAACTGGTAAGTTGTTACTCCTTGCGAATGGGCAGGTGCCTGGATCGCAACCTCTTCCTCCAGTCTCACAGGGAAAACAGCCTCTGGGCCGGGGAGGATGGGTGGCTTATCTCAAGAGACCTATGGTTTAGGTTGGGGGTTCCCGGGATGGCCGGGCAGCCTCCGGCAGCCCCTGGAGCTGCCCCGAAAAGGCTTTTGTGTGCAAGACTCTTGAACTACAACGCAGTGGAGCTTATGCCAGAGATCCCACTCAGGCCCCTGCTGCCCATTATGCAGGCCACGCCCTCTCTCTCCCCATCAGGATCCCAGCATCATATGCACCCAGCTGGGTGCCTGTCCAGCTGACCTTCCGGGAAGCCAGGATGGCTTGATGCAGCTGCTCCGAGGGCTGGAGCGGCTCCTTCCACAGCTGCATGGCCAGGTGCCCACCCTGCCCAGTGGCCACACTCAGGTAAAGGCGGCTTCCGAGTGCCCACAGCCCCATGCCAAGGGCTCTCGGGGGGGGGGCTCCTTTCTCAACAACGTAGGGAAGGGGAGCGGAGGCTTGGAAAAACAGGGGCACCTTTATTGTTCTCCTTTAAACCCTTTCCAAAGACCGAGAGGCCCAGTGGATCACTGGCAGGTGAGTGGAGGGGAGGAGCCAGGTTCCACCTTGGGGTCCACGTGGTGAGGAGCTGGGTTGTGCTCCTGCTGCTAGGAAACACCTGGGCAGCTGTGGGGGTCCCGCTCCAGACCTCTCGGGCAAAGGCTCCACGTGGCGTGAGAGTGACCGGCTCTTCTTTTGCTAGGAGGCCCCTGGAGAGCTGCTGCTCCCCATCCCGCTGCCTCTCTGCTGGTTGTGCAAGACGTTTATCGGCAAGGCCGAGTCTGTCATCCCCAAGGTACGGCATCCCCCGGCCTGCCAGGTCAGCGGCTGCGCCCTGGAGCGAGTGGCCCCACGGCACAGCAAGCGGCAGGGAAATGTTCCCGGAAAGGGCCGGGCTGGGGCGTTGGGTGTGCTGCCCTCCCTGCTCACCTCCCCCATCTTTCCCCAGGCCACGATAGGCAAAGCCATGTCCAAGCTCTGCTACGTCCTGCCAGGGGCTGTGGCTGGCATGTGCCAGTGCCTGATGGAGAAATACACGGTGATCATTGTGGACACCCTTGTGAGCAAGCTGGGCCCCCGCCTGATATGTGGAATGATGCTCATGTGTGCCTCGGAGGAAAACTGCGGCCCAGGTACGAAGGCGCTGAGGAGGCTCTACCTTTCTCTCTTGCCCCAGGGCAGGTGATGGCAGCCAGACAGCCCAGCAGGCAACGTGGGGAGGAGGCTGTGGGCAAACACGGGCGGGCTGGGAGGGACGTCTCCTGCAAGGCAAGGCTGCTCCAAGGGGAGAGGCCTGCCAGGAGAAGCGTGCTGGTCTGGTCTGGTCTGGTCTGCAGAAGAGCCAGTCCTCCATATCAAGGCGAAGACCTGCTGGGAGGCCCTGGCTAGATCCCCCTGACACCCTGTGGGATCTGTTTCTCTGAGTATTTCAGAGAAGAGCCCCTGCTCGCCTGCAAGGCCTGCGGAAAACCTCCCATGCAGGAGAGTTTTGAGAAAGGGGGACCTGCGGCCGCAGTTGAAGCCCCTCCAGGGAAGCAGGGATTCTTTGGGGTGCCGCCACCCCCTCCCTCCCTTCTCCTTTGTGCTTCTCCTCTGCAGAGAGCCTGGTGCCGGCTGCAGCCGAGGGGTGTCGGATGTGTCTCCTGATCAGCAGCCAAATGACGGCATCCCTCAGGGCAAACCGCACCCGGCGGGCAGTGGAGGCAGCCTTGTCCAGCGCCTGCAGCCCTTCCTTTTCCTCCTGGCCTCAGGTGAGGCTCCCCTGCCATCTTCCCCAGGAGTGCAGAATGGACCTTTGGTTTTTAAGGGTGACCCAGGCAGACATGATGGGATATGGAGTAGTACACGGGGCTTTGCTTGTACCAAGGCCAGGTGTCCCCCAAACCACTAACACTCTGGTGCCTGTCACTAGGTCTGCATAAAACCCAGAAACCCCCCCCCCCCCCCCCCCCCCCGCTTTAATGATAGCTGCGTCTTTTCCAAAAAGATACTTTCAGAAGCTCCCCGGGGTCCGTTTTCGCTGGCAGAGGACTAGCAAAGCAAAGGAAAAGGAGAGCATCCAAGAAGGAGAAGGGGAAAGAGGAAAGACAAAGAAAAAGAAGGGAAGAGGGGAAGGAAGGAAAAACAAGGAAAGAGGGGAAGGAAGAAGAAGGAGGGAGGGAAGTCCTGCCTTAGCACTTGGCCGTCAGCAGCGGGCAAGCGTTTGGTGCTCTCCCTGGTCTCACCTTCCTCCGCTGGAGACAATGGATCTGGCCACGCCCAACCACCACCCCCACTGCCCCCCAAGGTCAAACACAACCCTGATGCGGCCCTCAATGAAAGGGAGCTTGACACCCCTGGCCCGTTGGGTCGCTTCAGAGAGACTCCTTTCCCAGCTCCTCGACCCAATTCAGCAGTGGCAGAGCTCCCAAAGCTTTGGGAAAGTCCTTAGACATTCAGGGAGAGAATTCGGAGCAGCCAGAGGGGTCCACTCTTTGGCCTTGGCCCTCATGCCTTTCCCCTGCGCTGCCCCTGATGAGGTGGTGGGCTTGGGGACGGCCCGGAAGGTGCGTGTCTGTCTCCCCACCTGCCCCTCTCCTTTTGCAGTGCCACCACTTCATCTACCAGCACCAGCCAAAGCTCTCCGCACTGCTGATGAAGCCGTGGGACCCCCAAACGATCTGCCAGGTAGGAAGAGCGGGGAGACCCTTTCAAGGACAGCCAACTGAGGGCTGCCATTCCAACTCAGAGGCAGAGCAGCTGGGGCTAAAACACAGGCCCTGTGCCCCCCGGGGAGACACCCGGACAGGCGTTTACAAGCCAAGCCATCTATTCTAGACCGGGGGAGCAGAGGCAGAGGGAAAGGGCGCAGATGGGAAGATCTCTCTGTGATTCACGGCAAGAACAAAAAGGGATTAAGAACTGTCTGTTCGGGTCCAAAGGGATCTTGCAAGCATTGCTGTTTGGGGGACCCGCTTTTCCCAGGTTTTAAAAGAAACCGGCATTTAATCCGAGCGCTGCTGTTCCCTTTTCTGCCGCTTCAGATTAACGAAACCGGACTGACCCACTTGCAGAGAGCGGCCTGCCAATGGGCCAGCTCAAGGAGAACGGGGCAGCCTTAAGACACCTGGGTGACTTGCAAACCCAAGAAGGGGGACCCAGTGAAGTCAGACGGTTTCCACTTCCTGGCCCTCCTCCCTGAGGTCACCCAAACGGGTCTCTCTTCCCTCTTGTCCCCCCCGCAGGAACTGGGGGCCTGCACAGCTGAGCAGCTTTTGCCGAGGGCCACTCCTTGTGCCCAGGGACCCACTTACTGGTGCTCCAGCTTGAGTGCCGCCAAGCAGTGTGAGGTGAGGACTGGGCCTTTCTCCTCTGGCGTCTCTCCGGCCACTGCACAGCCAGCAGCTGCCAGCAAGTCAACAGAGACCCAATTGGGAACCAGCGTGAGCCCAAAAGGAGGGATTTCAAATTACCGTAATTTAGGTGCTAGGATCCTCATCCCAGAAGGCCCCGGGGGCTCATCCTAAGGAGAGGGATCCCTCGTTTGGGGCCAGGATCCAATTTCTCTCTCTCCCATCCTCCTCCAGGCCATACAGCACTGCCAGGACCACGTGTGGTTGTAACCGAGCAAGGAGGGCCCAGCTTTTCCCCCCTTGACTGATGATGAAGGAAATAATCTCAACTATTAAAATCAACCTCCAGATCACACGGGTGAAGTGTTTTCCTTGGGCACTTGTAGGTAGATCATGCGATAAGAGGGCAGGACAAAACCTGGGGTTGAAGACCATCTGTACTTTCCTTTTATCACTGGAGAATTCTTGAGGCTTTTTTCCACCCTAACAAATCCCACCAAGTTACCATTAGGAACATTTTGGGAGAGGAGGGAAGTCAACAGGGTGGCCCTGCAGTGGCTCAGAATCATTTGGAAGCCAAACCCACTCGGACTCCTCAAAGGAGCCGCTGTCCTTTCCTGGGGTCAAACACGTTCTGCCTTCGGGCTTCAGTCCTGCCAAACATCCCAGCACACAACCAAGGAACGGTCCCCTCGGTCAGATTATCAAGAAAAAGGGACGACTGAACCGTGGAGATGAAGCAAGAACAGCAGAGCCCGCACTGAAAATGGTAATGAAAAATAGGAACGTCTCCCTCAGAGATGCTGGAACTCTGCACCCGCTCCTCTGCCGCTTTCTTTGATTGACAGCCCTCTCCTCCTCCAACCTTAGCAATGCGCGCCTCTTTATCCTGTTCCCCCCCCCCCCCCCGGACTTCACCCTTCAGGCATCCTTAGAGATAGAGAGTCCTTCAGGGGAGAGAACGCCAACAGAGAACAACAAGCAACCAGGCTGGGTCTTCCAATTGGAATGTATTCTTTTCCTGATAGGTCACAATTTACAATTGCCCCCCCCCCCCCCCCCCCCAGAAGGCCTCCCTGCCCTGGGGAAGAAGAGGCTCTTTCTAGGTGGTCAACTGCTCCGTTGTGCTGCAGTTTAGATTCCCCCCTGCTCAAGCGTTATCTTCCCACTGAGGGCTTCTTCCCTGATGAGCACAAGCAGCACCTAAACACGGTGAGTGCGTCTCTCGCCCAAACCCCCTGCGGGTGGGGTGCTGCCTCCTTTGAACCAGGCCTTCCCTGGGGGCGGGGGGGGGGGGGGGGAGAAGAGCAGGAAAACAGCCGGGTTGGGGGGGGGAAACCAGCACGCACGTTTAATGCCCATCTCCCCGCAAGACGACCCCCCCACGGAGGGTGAAGCAGGGTGGCGCTTCTGGTGCCCAGAGGAGCCGCTTGCTGGGCCAACAAGGACCCTCCAGGCGCCCACGAACCACCCAGGCAGCGACCAGCCTCTGCCGCTCACAGCTCCTCCTTCACGTCCCTTGCTGGGGCCTCTCCTCTTGGCCGTCTCTCCTTTTCCAGATCTATGGGGACAAAGTGCCCTCGCATGAGGAGGGGAGGGCCCACTCCTCGCCCGGCCGTGTTCAGTTGGGCGGCTGGAGAAAGGCGAGACTCACCTGGATGTAGGCCTCAGACAGCGTGATCATCTGGGGCAGAATGTCGGTCACCTGCAGGTCCTGCAGCTCGTACCACTTGCCGGTGCCCTGCAAGAGTCCCCTCCCAGTCAGAGGTTGTGGCCCAAGGAGGAGGAGGAGAGGGAGGCCCCGGGGTGACTGCGTGCCCAGGGCGATCCTTAGGGAGGGGAGGCCAAGCACTCACATGATGCAACACATGGATCCGGTAGGCCCCTTCGGTAGGTTTGCCGTCGTGCACGATGTTGGCGACGAGGTCGTAGACGGTGTTCTTGTGCACGGCCTGCACCTCCTCGGAGAGGTATTCCCGCAGGTCCACGTTCCTACAGCAGGAAAGTCGCCACTGAGGCTCCGAGGGCCGCATCTCCCCCCCCTGCCAAGGCTCACAGGCCCCCCCAGAGAAGGGCCATGGGCTTCAGGGGGCCAGGCGCTGTTAAGCTAGGGCAACACGGAGGGTCTCGAGTGATTTCTCACCACGACGACAAAAGGCAGGGTTAAAGCCCGGGGGGGGGGAAGAGGAGAAGAAATCCATTTCCCCTCTGAAATTCCTGGAGTTCCCCAGGAGGAGCCTGGCCCCCTGCTGACCCTTCCTGCCCCGTTCAGCCCTCAGGACTGATCCGCGTGGCTCCGAGTCTGGCCCCCACCTGGCCTTTTAAACCGCCGTTTGCTCCTGGGGAGGGGCCATACGTACGTGATGGGGAAGTTGACAATGGTGGGGTTCTTCTCCACAAAGAAGTTGTTCTTGGTGAACCTCTTGATGCAGAAAATAAGGTAAGGAGGCAGCTTGGTGAGCTGGAAGCGCTTCAGGAAGTTCTCTTTGTAGGTCTTGTATTCCTGGAGGGCAAAAAGGCTTTTTTCCCCCACTTTCCCAGGGAAGCCAGGGCGGCTTTGGTTCAAGTGCAACGGTTTCCCTTAGTTGATTTATGCCCCACAAGCAGCATCAGGGCTTGTAGCTGCCAAACATAAGCCGCAGCTGCTTCCTCTCCAGCTTATGACCCTTTTCAACCCAGCCGTTTATTGTCTCGTATGCCAGGAACCCATGATGGGGGGAGGGGCCCAGCCCAGGGTGCCTTTAGGGCTGCCCCCTCCAGCCCAGCCCGTGCCCCCTTCAGGACAGATGGGGGCCACACGCAGCCGTTGGGGCAGGCAGTGCACAGGGGGGCCTTCCGCTCCCCTGCTCCCTTCCCCTCTGAGGAGGAAAGGTTGCTTCCTCCCCCCAGCAAAGGAACTTCAGCCCCTGGATCTCCCTGCCTGCATGGACGAGGCGGCTCCCTGTGGAGGAGGAGGAGGAGGAGGAGGAGGAGGCCCTTCCCACCCAGCCATGAAGCCTAAGGCAGCCGAGGCAGCTGGGGCTGCCTGCCAGGGAAGGGGCTCTGGGTGGGCAGAGCACTTGCCTTTTCCATGATCCCATTAAACTTGGCCAGTATGTTGAAGAGCGGGACTTGGGGGATGATGAGCTGCTCCTTCTCGTCCTTGTAGAGGGGGGCAGTGGGCAGGTCCAGGGTCAGGTACATGAAAGTGGACTCCACCATTTTTTCCTGGTACTCGTCGTTCTGGAGCAGCTGCTCCTTTTCTTCTGCAGGCTGAAGCAGAGCAACACCGTGAGCCAAATAAGCAAACACCCGGGACTGCCCCAGAGGCACCTGAAGGGATTGGGGGGGGGGGGGGGCTGGACCGGCCAAAGGGCCTTTGAGTGGTCAAGGGCCCAAGCGTGCCCATGGATAGCCGAGGTCCTCGTTCAAGGATCCTAGCCAGGGTCAGCATTTTTTCTTTCCCCACTTCACGGCTTCTGCCCCTGGGCAAAAAAGGCCACGAGGCCCCAACTCACCAGGTCGGGGTGTGGCAGTTTCTTGGTGAATATCCGCATGGAGCCTTGGAAGACCTCGGTTACGATGGCTGCAGGCAAGAGGGGAGAGAGCCGAAGAGGACACAACTCATCCCCAGCCCTATTACAGTCCACCCTTTTAATCCACAGGCTTTCAACACTGACTACAGAGCCTTTTTTTAAAAAGTGCAAACGCCTCTCTTTGCTACGGGAGCGAGAGAGAGAAGTAGGGGGTGTTCCCCAGTTGCCAGAAGCTCCCCAAAGGCGGCTCTGCCCGAGGCCCAGCAAGGGGGTCCTAGACGAGGCTCAGGCAGGGTGCGCTGGAGAGAGGCCCTGGTGTGGAAAGGCTGACGTTGCACATTACAAATCAATATGATCGATCGGTTCAGAGAAAGTCTGCCTGGGGAGCTGGCAGGAGGGGAAGAGAGGAGCGACTGAAAAGCAGCCAGGGCTCCGGAGGGGTTGTGTGCTGCATGGCGAAACGGAGAGGACCAAGTGGTGGGCGATGCTGGCTCGTCTCTCCCAGGAGGAGCTGGCTGAGACTCCTGGCCAGCAAGGGCTGGGGATGGACCACGTGGTGGTTCTTCTGCCTCAAGAAGCACCAGCTAAGAGTTCTTCCCCCTTGGCCTTGGAGGTGGGGGGGGACAAGGCAGCAGCCCCGGAAAGCTCCAGATGCACCAAGGGGGGTTTGTGCAGCCACCCCCAGACCTACTGTGGGATTCCTTGGTCATCCCTGCACCAGAAAGCGTCTTTCAACCTAGCTGAAGGCAGATCCTCTCTGGGGCAGCGCTGAGAGGATCCCTTCCCTCCGCTAAGAGGACCACGACTACTCCCGGAAGCTGCTTTGGAGGAGGGCTAGGTGGCCTTGCAAAAGGTTCGGGGACCTATCAGAGGCACCAAGGCCTCCCGCTTACTCTTCTTCTTCTTCTTTGTGCCCCCGAGAGCAGAGTGCAGGGCATTCAGGAACCAGGAAAGAAAGTCCACGCCGTCACCTGCAAAGGGAGAGGCGGCCAGCAAAGGAAGGGAGGGTCCCCTGAGCACCACGGAAGCTTCGCTCCAGGCTCCCTGAGGAAAGCGGGACTTCCCCTGCCTCCCGCAGGGCGCCATGCCAGGCGGAAACCCTTTCCGGAGGGGCTCCTGCTCCAGGGAGGAGTCCTGTTCCCCACTCCCCGTCTCCTCTCCAGGCATCCGGCTGGGGGATGCTCCGGGGTGAGGGGCACCAGGGCGATGGGCTCGCTGTGACCAGAGGGCCGGGTTCAGGGCTCCACCGAGGCCGAGCGATCCCCACGGCCACTTCCGGCCTGTTCTTTTCGGCACCCGCGTAAGAGCCTTCCGGCGCTTTTACCTTGCTTGGTGATCTGGAAGTTCTTCTTGCTGCACAGAACCACGGCCTGCAGCATCTCGTGGGGGGAGACGTGGGCCTTGAAGTTCCGGGGGTTCCACAGCTTCCTCATGAGCTCCCCAAACCGCTGGACCAGCAGGAACATGATGTCCCCTGGGGGGCGCCGGATGTGCTTGTAATTCTCCTCCTCCAGAAAGTAGTTCCGCAGGGGGGGCACATTGGACAACGCCTGCACGACGCACACAAGGAGGAGGCCACAGTGGAGCCTGGGCACCCGAGGGGGGAGTTCCACGCTGGGGGAGACCGCTGGCTCCATGGGAGGCCCCACCCCCACTCTGCCCCCCCCCCCCCGTCTTTCGTCACCCTGCTGCTGGTTTGTGTGCTGTCTCCCCTTCCCCTTGGATCCTCGTAAGCTGTCTAGGGTAGCCCCACAGAGAGGCAGGAGGCCAAGAAACGTAACAAATAAATAAGTACAACCAGTGACAAAACAGGCATGGTATTTCTAAGAGCCTGGACGGCCCTTTGTCTGAAAGGGCGTAAGGTCTCCTGCTTGGGCAGGGGGTTGGACTAGAAGACCTCCAAGGTCCCTTCCAACTCTGTGATTCTTTTAAGCAAAGTGGCTTCTGAGTGAGGCACAGCTGTGCTCATGACTTTCCTTCAGCCTTCCTTGGTTTTCCAGACCTGTCAAGGTCACACATGTGAGTAAAGTGACTTTTTCATCACCACCTTAACTGCGAATGGTCCTTAAACGAGGCAGTTGCTAAACAAGGCCTACCTGCATTGCGCTATGGGGGGGGGGCTGCAGTGGAGTTTCCGACTCTTCTCCACTCCAGAGACGGCACCGTACCTGGAGAACCGCGTTGGCGTAGTCGTTGGCCTTGATGTTGTTCAATCCCACAATGCCCGGCAGGTACGTGGTGCCATCATAGGCGCGTGAGAGTTTGGCCTGCCTGTCCAAATTGCTGATGTGCTGCTTGGCGAAGGTTGGCTTCAGGACATACTGGATAAGGGGAGAGGAGAAGCAAGAGAGGAGACGCCTTGCTGGAGGCCTTAGCCCAGGCCACACAACCCTGGAAATGGTTTGGAGAGTGGCTAAAAACGTCCCCTCTGCTGCATTTCTGAAGCAACGGATGGTGGGGTGAAACTCTGAGAAGGGACGTTTTAAATATTATGAGCTGAGCTGAGCTGGGTATTCCCACCTCTCCCCTCCACCCTTCACCAGAAAGCCACCTACAGTGATATCCTCAAGAGAAGAGTCAATAATCTCATAGTTGTCTGGCAGGCAATAAAACTTCAAGGTGTGAAGGTTGAGGAACACATGATGACTGAACTGGACGCTGTGGATGTAAGCATGGGACTTCAAGCCACGACCTGTGGAGAAGACAGGAGGCAGAGCATCACAAGCAGGGAGGGAGGGAGTCATGTCTTTGGAGGGTGAGGGTGGGAATCAGTTGTTACTGTCAGCCAGCCAAGACCTGCTGCTGATCGCCCCACAACATTATGGTCTGCCAGCCCTTCTGGGAAAGGATGGGAGAAGCTGCGTTTCAAGGGCTGATCTCTCACTCATGCCTATTACGTATGCCAGAGATCAGCTGTAAGACCTGCTCGAGATTAAGCCCATCAAGGTGAGGCAAGAACCCCCCCCCAGGTATTTTGCACACACATTTTTCTCCTAGGCTGACCAAGAATCACACGTGTGTGTTCCCTCGCCAACGACCAAGTGAGAGGCAAAAGGGACTGAAACAGGCTTACCCTGGAAGTACTTCCCACACACCAAGCAGGCATAGACGTTGATATGTGAGAGTGAGATCGAACACAGCTTCTCAAAGTCAAAATCCAGGACGCTCCTGCAGTGGCACAAGACAGGATCCTTAACACAAGCATCAACATCGTGCCAGTGATGTTAGGATATGCAAATAATGCAATAGAGGGAAACTCTAGGACCCGATAGTGGATGCAGAGGAACAAAATAACCCCCCTACCCCCCTCCTCATGGTGGCGGATCTGCTACTTTTAAATTAGTGATGACCTTTCCAGTCTCATCTTAGTATTTCATGCAATAAAACATTGTTTTTCTGCTAAAGATTTAGGAGGAAAGATTTATAGCTGTGAGATGAAAACTAGAGATTTTTCTCCCAAGGACCTTTTTTCTTAAAACAAAAACTGGAAATAATATTAAGCATCAGGTTCTGTATATAATCCTGGTATGCCATAAACTGGTGCTGCTCTCAAGGCCTCTTGCCACTCTCGGGGAAGGGGGGGGGGAACGGGGGACGGGGACGGAGTGTTTTTCTTCATCATGCATCAAGCGGCACCTCCCAGGCCTCCACGGGAATTGCTTGCTAGGGAAACTTCTTGCCAGAGGCGGCTTCAGGTGGGACACCAACGGCTGGTCCTACGAAGCGTTTCCTGGCGGGTTTCTTCCGTCTCCGCCTGACTCTTTTTTTCTAGCTGTTCATTCACTGATGACCCCCCACCCCACCCCCAAATACAGTTTCCTTTTGCCACTGACTTGTTTATGGTGTCCAGGTAGGGACAATGCCTGCTCCGGCGGTCTTCTGGGTCAAATCGCCCGTACTTCACTGAAAGAGGGAAATGGACCAGAAACGTTTGCTACGAAGATCGGAATAAACATTGAAGACAGCAAGTTGCTGGGATCTCACGTCCTTCAGTGGGACGAATTGTGTCTTTTCCTTTATTAAACGTCTATGCCGCCATCTCCCCGGGAGGAAGGAAACCGCCGCCCCGGAGTCTCTGCTTGCGGCCGGGAGGAGATCGGCCCCCGCCCACCATTGGCCGCCTCAGGGGCCCCTCCAGGAAGCGGGGGGGGGGGTCCCGAGCGGCCCCAGCGCCAGTAGAATCGCGCCCTAAACCGGCCCTGGAAGGGGGGCGCCGAGGGAGGCCGGCGCGGGGGGGGGAAGAGAAACGGGGGAGGGGGGCGGCGGCCTCCCTCCGTGCTCGCAACCTGTGGGCTCCGCGTCGCCGTCCTCCTCCTCCTCCTCCTCCGGCTCGTCGGGCTCCTGCTTGATGGCGACCTCCTCGGCGGGCTCCCGCTTCACCCGCGCCCAGCCGACCGCTCCGCGAGGCGCCGCCGTCGGGCAGCCGGGCCACGGCTGGGGGCTGCGGGGCTCCCGCTTGACGCGCGCCGCCATCTCCGCCGGCGCCAAGACGCCGCCCGGCGCGCCCTGATGCCGTCACGAGGGGCTCGCGGGCGCTCCCTGCCGGCGCCCCGCAGCCTTGCAGCCCCGGCCGAGCCCGTTTCCGGGCGCGTGTGCGGGGGAGGCGGGGGCGGGGGCTGCCGGAGCGGGGCCGATGGACGCGGGGCGCTGCCACCCGGGCGGGCGGCTGGACATGAGCCACGGCTTCGTGCGGCACATCCGGCGCAACCAGATCGCCAGGTGGGGCGGGGCGGGGGGGCTCGCGGGGGCGGGGGGGGGCGCTGAGCCGCCGGAGGGGGGGCGGGGGGCGGGGCTGCTCCCACCGGCTCTTCCCTCCCCGCAGGGACGACTACGACCGGCAGGTGAAGCTGGCCAAGGAGCAGCTGCGGCGGAGGCTCACCCCCGCGCCCCCCCGGCCCCGCAGGCCCGACCAGCAGGTCTACCGCGCCGGCCGCCGAGGTGAGTCCGGGCCGCCCGGGCGGAGGGCGAGGGCGGGCGGGGCTCCCGGCCGAGCCCCTCTGCCACCTTCTCTGCCTTGCAGGCTCAGCCGGAGGAGGAGGCCCCGCGGGCGGCGGCGGGGGCGGCGCGGAGGGCGAGTCGGAGGCCTCGAGCGGGAGCAGCTCCAGCAGCCGCGAGCGGCGCCCCCTCGGCCCGGCCCTCTTCTGCCTGGAGTACGAGGCCGACGGCGGCCAGGTGACCTCGGTGGTGGTCTACCAGGTAGGCGGGCGAGAAGGAGGGGCGGCGGCGTCTTCGGGGCTGCCCGGTTCCCCTCGCGCGGCCTCGCCCGAAGCGCCCCGGCCTCCTGCGCGGGACCCCCGGGTGGGGTGCTTGGGGCCTGGGGGGGCCTTGTCCTGCCCTCCGGACGCTCCCCGGCCAGGTCAGCCTCCAGCCCAGCCGGCTTTTGCTCCTTGCATTGCATCGTTACTGAACTAAGACCTGGTTGTTTTAGGAAGCATTTGGACAGGACTGATTATTTAGCTCCACTGCTGCTGTATATATATTTCCGGACAGTAAACGTATTTTTTTTACTGTCCATCAGGCTTTTATTATTCTACTGCTGTATTTGGCTTTTGAAATTGTTCTTGCTTTTAAAAGCAGCAAGCTGGCAGTAAAGGAAAGGAGCTGTATCCCTTTTTCTGTGACTAACACAACCTGAAGGTTACACAAATGAGGCTTGGTAACAAAACCATCCATTTCCACTGTTCACTTCTAAAAAGACTGAAAAGGATGCATTAAGCTCCTAGGAGCTTTGTGAAAGTGTGCTTTATAATCCCCAAAGGGCTGCTTACGCTTTGTCATCTGAGCAGGGTGTTTCCTAATGGACCCTTTGGCTTCTTGGCACAGGACAATGACCCCGAAGAAGTGGTGGAGAAGGTCAGTGCCCAAAATCAGCTGGAGCCAGCTTTGCACCAGGCCCTTCGGCAACGAGTACAGGAGGAATTGGAGAAGCGGCGGGTGAAGCGCTGAGAGCCACTGCAGGCGTTGAGAAATGCTTTAGGGGAAACGGTGCTGGGCCCTGTGTGGAGGGTCCCCTTCAGCTGCTCCAGGGTACCATCGGGAGCGGCGGCAGAAGGGAGCAAGTCCATCTGTTGACAGGTCTGCCCCAAAGGAAAGTGGGGCAAATGCTTGCAGCCCAGACTTGCTGGCTGGCTCTGTATGGTAGTGGTCTGCGTTTCCCTCCGACTCTTGTGAATATCCAAGTGGGCCTGCTGTTTGCTTGGACAACAAAACCCAGGCAAAGAAGGTGGCAGGATGTTACCAGCTGCCTTTCCCAATTTCTCAGGGTCTTGGGGGATGCTGAGGGTAGAGACGTCCGCTGGTGAATCGGTTATTGAAGGGAGCTGCTCCCTTGCCTAGATTTGCAGCTTTTTGGTAGATCAGCCAGAAGGACCTTTCAGCCAGAAGAACGTGCTGGGATGATCCAGAGATCGTGGTGGGGAGGATGGGAAGAAGCATCTCTCTTGGGGGCCGTTGCCTTGCCCTCTTCCTGCCAGGAAAGGTTCTCAGAAATGTAGCACAGGGCTGTAAATAAAGACCTAGAACCTGCTTTTCCATCATGGTTCTTTGGTGCAGGAATTTGTTCTGAATGCTTGCATAGTTCCGTGAAAACTTACCTGACCCCTTTGTTGACTAAACATCGTTGGAGGAGGCCCTGTTGTCCATGTTCTTCCTGCCTCGGCATAAGACTCTGGAGACAGTTAACAATTCAGGAGGAGCCGGAAGATCCAGAATTGAACTCTGCTTCTTTAAAAAGGACTTGCATTTACATTCTTGTGTAGTTTTGGGAAATAACCCTATTCAGGAACACACAACATTAAGCTACAAAAAAGCAAACTATTTTAGGGATTGGCCTGTGAAGGATACCCAGACATCGCTAATGGCATCTAAAACCCCGGAATCTTCTGGCAGAACAGATGCAGGATCAACTGATCAGTGCTAGGGTCGTAAGGCCCCCCCCCCCCCCCCCCCCCCCCCCC